GTATCTTTGGTTCTTGGCTGGAGGATAAGGCTGCAGGAGAAGAGGTGGTGGCCTGGACACAAACTTGGAGAGCTGTTGCACTCGATTAGACTAAAACAGAGGTGACAGCAGTTAAAAAACTCAAGCAGCTATTCCTCCTGAAAGGAGGTCACGCAAGTTGGTGAATGCGGTGTTTATGTGACATGAGAAACTTAATATCTACCTGTTTTTCCCCAAAGAGACCCCCAGGTGGTGGGAAAATAGAGGAGATATTTGGAGAATGCCGGTGCAGCAGCCCTGAGCAGATTGACACATTCCTCCTACATTAATTTCTCCCTGTAGCACTGTTCTTTAGCAGAAACACTTCCATTCTTGCAGCATTTTGTGACGTGCAGTGGATTTAAAGCAGGATTAAATCCCACCGAAGGAGTCGGTGGTGTTACAGTGCAAAAGGTGCTGTGAGATAAGGCAGGAACCTTTGTGATTTTCCTTGCAGGAGGAATTTAATGTGTAGCTGCTGGCTGAGGAGAGGGGAAGTGTACTCTGTGTGAGGGTGGATGTGTTTCTGTCAGAAGGGAGCTCTTGCTCCAAACCAAGCTGTGCCATGCTCGGGATGAACAAGCACTAATGCTGTACCTGCAAAGCACTGTTTGTCCATCTGTGTGTGAATAAAGGGTTTGAAGAAACTGAAAAAAGTTTAGCTAGATATAGTTAGGGGGGATAGAAACAATTAAGAGTATAGCAAGAAGAGTAGAAATAATAAGGGATAGTTAATTATCAGTAGATAAAATAGTTAAAGCTAGGGTAATATATCACCTGCCTGTCTTTACTCTTTAAAGAAGCAGGTTGTGATGAAGATTTAATTGTGAAAAAGAAGGCTTGCACCTGGGCCCTGAAACTTGAGCTATAGCCAAGGGGTACAAAGTCTGCCAACAAGGCAAAAGTAAAGGGTCACTTTGACCTCAGCAGCCCCCTGACCCATTTCAGAGCCCCCTGACCCATTTCAGGACCCACTGTCCCATTTCAGAGCCCCCTGTCCCATTTCAGAGCCCACTGTCCCATTTCAGAGCCCCCTGACCCATTTCAGGACCCACTGTCCCATTTCAGAGCCCCCAGCCCATTTCAGAGCCCACTGTCCCATTTCAGAACCCATGGACCCATTTCAGAGCCCCCTGTCCCATTTCAGAGCCCCCTGTCCCATTTCAGAG